CCAAAACATACCGTCTGCCCCCAGTCTTAAGTGTTCATTATCGGGGGCCACACTGGCCTGGACTGGCCCCTGAGGAAGGACCACCACAGAATGAGGGTCGGGGGGTGTCACTCTGGCCATAGACATCAGGTGACGCCCCCAAATCCCAGGTATGGGGCCCATAGGATGGCACTGAGTTTGGGGTGCCCATAGCTCCAGAGGGACGTGGTGCCCATAGGATGGCACTGGGTATGGGGCGCCCATAGCCCAAGGCAGGTGTGATGCCCATAGGATGGCACTGAGTGCGGGGTGCCCATAGCTCCAGAGGGACGTGGTGCCCATAGGATGGCACTGGGTGTTGGGTGCCCATAGGATGGCACTGGGTGTTGGGTGCCCATAGCCCAAGCCAGGTGTGGTGCCCATAGGATGGCACTGTGTTGGGTGCCCATAGCCCAACCCAGGTGTGGTGCCCATAGGATGGCACTGAGTGTGGGTGCCCATAGCCAAAGCCAGGTGTGATGCCCATAGGATGGCACTGGGTGTTGGGTGCCCCATAGCCCAAGCCAGGTGTGGTGCCCATAGGATGGCACTGGGTGTTGGGTGCCCCATAGCCCAAGCCAGGTGTGGTGCCCATAGGATGGCACTGGGTGTTGGGTGCCCCATAGCCCAAGCCAGGTGTGATGCCCATAGGAGGGCACTGTGTGGGGTGCCCATAGCCCAAGCCAGGTGTGGTGCCCATAGGATGGCACTGGGTGTTGGGTGCCCATAGCCCAAGCCAGGTGTGGTGCCCATAGGATGGCACTGAGTGTGGGGTGCCCATAGCTCAGGACAGGTGTGGTGCCCATAGGATGGCACTGGGTGTTGGGTGCCCATAGCTCAGAACAGGTGTGGTGCCCATAGGATGGCACTGAGTGTGGGGTGCCCATAGCTCAGGACAGGTGTGGTGCCCATTGGATGGCACTGTGTGGGGTGCCCATAGCCTGGGCCTGGCATGGTGCCAGCATATCACCACCTTCCCTCGAGTAATCGCAAGCTCTGTGGACAAGAAGCCGCATGTACTGCCCCCGCAGATGAGAAGGGTGAACGCTGATCATCCCCCACCTGTCATCAGCGGTCATCCCTCCACTCAGTGATTACAAGCTCTTGGGACGAGAGACCATGAAACGTGGACGTAAATTTTCCTTTTGACCTCCTCCCCCGGAATCCGGTATTTCGATATCCTGCTTCTGAGGGAACGTTCGGCAAAGTGTTTTCCCTCCTGTGTCAGGCATGAGGTACGGTGCGCCTCTGATGTCATTGCTCCTCCCCCCCGAGGAAGGTTCTGAGGCGTGCGGCAGATGTTGCTCATCGTCGGGGACGTGAAAGGTGACACAATACAGAATATTATTCCCCTTCCTTATCCTCCCACCCGCTATAAACCTGAATCCCGCTTATTATCCCATCAATGTGACGGATTCACGACGCGTGACTCGCCGCGCCGTCACCTCATCGCAGGAC